AATTTCTTTTCTTATTGAAGCCCGTAAGATTTGAGTTTCTGTCACTTGCCACCAAAAAGATCCTGGCTGATACAGCTAGCCTGGTTCATTCTAAACCACAGCTCTTTCATCTACACTGTGCTGAATTTGAAGACCTCCTTTCTACCAAAAATAATTCCAGTCCCTAGCCCAAGAAACAAACCCATGACTTCCCCAGAGCTAATCTGGAAGGCAAAACACTTCATTCAGCAAAGTGGATTTTGCTGACAAGGAACCTGTTTCATTGAAAACTTCTCTCTGTGGCTGAAAGACTGGAGGTTATGGGATGTACCTGTTTATGGACTTGATATTTCTGCTCAACTCCACTCTCCCAAGGTGGCTAAGTAGAATTAAGGAGATGTGTTACTCTGTTCTCATGCTGCTAATAAAGACATACCTGGCTGGGCATAGTGGCCCACCCTGTAATCCCAGTACTTTGGGAGGCCGAGGCAGGCAGATCACCTGAGGTCAGGAGTTCAAGACCAGCCTGGCCAACATGGTGAAACCCCGTCTCTACTAAAAATACCAAAAAAATAGCCAGGTGTGGTGGTGGGCACCCGTAATCCCAGCTACTCAGGAGACTGAGGCAGGAGAACCACTTAAACCCGGGAGGTGGAGGTTGCAGTGAGCCAAGATCGTACCATTGCACTCCAGCCTAGGCAACAAGAGCAAAACCTCATCTCAAAAAACAAACAAAAAAAAGGACATACCTGAGACTGGGTAATTTATAAAAGAAAGAGGCTTAATGAACTCACAGTTCCACACAGCTGGGGAGGCCTCACAATCCTGGCTGAAGGTGAATGAGGAGCAAAGTCACGTCTTATATGGTGGCAGGCAGGAGAGCTTGTGCAGGGGAACCCCCTTTATAAAACCATCAGCTCTCATGAGACTTATTCACTCTCATGAGAACAGCAGGGGAAACACCTGCTCCCATGATTCAATTACCTCCCACCAGATCCCTCCCATAACATGTGGGAATTAAGGGAGCTACAATTCAAGATGAGATTTGGGTGGGGACACCGCCAAACCATATCAGGAGGCAAGTTAGATCGTGGGACTTCCCTCACAGCCCTCCATCTGCCAGGTGATTACAGCGAATTACGTGGCACTGAAGTGGTCTCTCTGTGAGGGCTTTCTTAGAGGAAAAATCAAGATTTCTTCCCATACACCCCCACAAGGATTTGTCTAGGAGGCTGAACTTAAGAGAACATGCTGCTCGTCAAACATGCTGCTTGTCAGCTAGCTTCTCCTCTATGGCCTCTGCAGCAGGTCCTTAAAGGAATGAAATGTCTTCATGTAATAGAAGAGCTTGGACCAAACTCAAAATTCATTTTGGAAGAAAAAGAGATTATGCGGAGGAAAAAAAAAAGCTCTTTCTGAGGGTGATTTGCAAGGAGTACATGGTATGAAGGGGCAGCTTGTCCTTTTTCCTAGATGATATAATGGAAATAATAGCAGCTACCACTTATAGCACACTTACGGAGGCCAGGCACCACATTCGGCTCTTTAAATACACTCTCCTGTTTTAGCCTCACAATAACCTTAGAAAAAGAGATGACAATTATCCTCATTTTGCACAGGAGGGAACTGAGGCTCAGAGAGGTATAACGAAATAAGGAAACGCCCATGGTCACGTGCCTACTTGGCGGTGAAACTGCCGGTTAGCCCTAGGACTGAGGGTGAACGAGTGAATAGACTGTGCATGTGAGTTATGCTGTTTCTCAAAATCCTGGAACAAGCAGAGTTGTTGCATTGTCAAGTTTGAAGAGGAAGCCAGCCCAGTGCCTACTGTGGTTAGCTGTCCAATTGACCCACGGATGTAATAAGTCGGCTGAATGCCCACACCCAGCTTGGCAAAGGATCAGCACTCCATAGATGTTACTACCTCTAGAAGGAGGCTGGAAGGAAGGGCAAAGGAAGAGTTCATGCTTACTAAGCACTTACCATATGTCTGGAACCTTGATGTCAAGTCACTCCTTGCTGACAAGTCTGGTCATTCCTTTATGACTGGTCCTAGGCAAGGTCCATTTTGTTCATCCATTTTTATCCCCTCTCATGGAATTCTAACCATATCCCTTGATGGTATCCACATCTCAGTTTGATGGATGTGAACACTGAGGCCCAGAGAGGTTAAGACACCTATCCCAGGATCACAGAAGGCCTCTATAAGGGTTTTAGCTGGGACATGACCCCCATTTCCCTCACTTCCATGACAATAATTCTTATAATTCGTTTTCTGTTGTTGTTGTTGTTGTTGTTTTGAGACAGAGTCTCACTCTGTTGCCCAGGCTGGAATGCAGTGGCGCAATCTCAGCTCACTGCAATCTCTACCTCCCAGGTTCAAGCGATTCTTGTGACTCAGCCTCCTGAGTAGCTGGGACTACAGGCATGTGCCACCAAACCAGGCTAATTTTTATATTTTTAGCAGAGATGGGGTTTCATCATGTTGGCCAGGCTAGTCTCGAACTCCTGACCTCAGGTGATCTGCCTCGGCCTCCCAAAGTGCTGGGATTACAGACATGAGCCACCATGCCTGGCCAAATTCTTATAATTCTTGAAACAGTGCTTCAAAGACACTCAAAGTTCCCCGTTGTGCAGTTTGGGGCTCAGGACAGAGCATGCAGTACCTTCACCTTTCGTCAACTCCCACACATTCCAGCTGTCTAGGGTATGTCTCCTTTGGTGGGACTTTACACAGCAGTGTGCAGGAGCTGACTCATCAACTCACGAGACCCAATTAAGATTTTGAGAATTTTGTGAGCCAGGTAACATCATGTTGGTATCTTGAAATTGGCCATGGTGGAAGTATTTGCACCACAGAAATTGGCAAATGCTATAAACCAGGGCTTTATTTCTTTTAATTTTGCAGAGATCCAGTTGTTCAATATTTCCAGCATGCCTCTGGACTTTAGAGAAACAGTTTCAGTTCACCATAAACCCATACATTCATACAATAAATACATATATTGAGCTCCACCTACAGCATAATATAATTTGCACTCACTAACATGTTTGTTCAGCAAACTTTGACTCATGGGCTACTATGTGTCAGGTTCTATGCTAAATATTGGGAATTCAGCAGTGGCAAGATAGACATGGTCCTTGTCCCCATGAAGCTTTCAATCTAACGAAGGAGTCAGATTTAAACCCCCCCAAAAAAAGTCATACAACCTGCACTATGAGTGGGAGTTAGCCAAGTCAAGGTGGTGGGATAAAAGCAGGGAGATTCCAGGTAGAAGGAACAGCCTGTGCAAAATCTTTGTGGCAGGAGGAAACTTGGCATGTTCCAAGAACTGACCAAGGCCAGCCCAGCTGGAGAGAAAGGAGTAAAAGGGAGAATGGGGCTGGAGAGGGACCTACCAGGCCTTGTGGGCCATGCTAGGCACTTGTCTATTTTTGTATCCCCAGCCTCAATAAGTCTATCAAAAACTGCTCATGCCTATAATCTCAGCACTTTGAGAGACTGAGGCAGGAAGATCGCTTGAGCTTAGGTGTTTGAGGCTGCAGTGAGCTATGATCGTGCCACTGCATTCCAGCCTGGGCAACAGAACAAGACCCTGTCTCTGGGTAGGGTTGGGTGGAGGGAGAAGGTCAGGCACAGTGGCTCACAGCTGAAATCCCAACACTTTGGGAAGCCAAGGCAGGAACATCACTTGAGGCCAGGAGTTCAAGACCAGCCTGGGAAACATAGTAAGACCCTATCACTATTTAAAATAAATAAATAAATAAATATCTTTTTTAATTTAAAAAAAAAAAAAAAAAAAAACCTGGTACCAATGCACTGGCTCACACCTGTAATCCTAGCACTTTGGAAGGCTGAGATGGGCAGATCACTTGAGGTCAGGAGTTCGAGACCAGCCCGGCCAACATGATGAAACCCCATTTGTACTAGAAATACAAAAAATTAGCCGGGCGTGGTGGCAAGCACCTGTAGTTTCAGCTACTCGGGAGGCTGAGGCAGGAAAATTGCTTGAACCTGGGAGGAGGAGGTTGCAGTGAGCCAAGATTGTGCCACTGTACTCCAGCCTGGGTGACAGAGCAAGACCCTGTCTCAAAAAAAACCTGCCCACATTTTCAAAGCCTACAAAACTCAGTCTTCATTTCCTCATCAGATCGTCCTACAGAACCTCTCTGGGCCTCCTCATGGGAAAAATGAAGGCAGAAATGAAGATACTGATAACTTCATAGGGTGTGGCTGTAGGAATCAAATGAAGACATAGATGAAAAGCAGTTCGCTCCATGTCTGGCTTATCGCAAGCCTCAATGAGTTGAACTGTTACGTTTACTTCCCTCCCTCCACAAATGCTCGTTCATCCCATTTCCTTTCTTGCTTTCAGTCCTCACAACTTTTACTGAGTTCCAGGCGCTGAGCTGGGTACTAAGAACCAACTCTGAATAACAGGGACACAATGGCCCTGGGAGGAGGGGCTGTTCCCACCTCCTAATTGCCTGGCTCTAATCACATATGTATATGCAAATTTTTATCGTACCCCACTACTGCAAAGTCCTTTTTCTAGGAAATGTGGATACAAACAACGCTGGCATGGAATCTGTGGAATGAGACCTCTGTTTTCACCATTCACCTCCCCAGGCTAATTTAGGTCTCTGCAGGGTCTTCCCATCTTCCCCTCATCACGCTGCTCTTCACTCTGAACTCTAACTGCGCATCTCCACATTTGTCCCCAGCACCATTGTGAGCTCCTTAAGGGGATGGCCTGTGTCTTAACCATCAATCAAAACGGTGCAAAGAACGCCATTAGTCAACGTCAGCTGAATGAACCCTAAACCATAAAACGTCACAGGTGGATCAGGAGAGACCCTAACCCTGGGTCTTATGCCCACTGCATTCTCAGGCCGGACTGTCAGAGGCCACCCCAGCCACCCCCTCCGCAAGCTCTGAGGCCCAGCTGTTTGGGGAAAGGCTCCAGAACCCACGGCTAGGACTGGGGCGCTTCCTCCATCCTCACCCTCCCCGGACTCACTGAGAAGTTGCCGGCTGGATTCGCTGACTGTCACGTTCTCCAGCCAGAAGGGGTTCATCAGCGGTGTGCACGGGCTCTGGACTGGATAGGACGGAGGAATCCATGGGCGCAGGACCCCGGAGTTCTGCGCAGAACCCCCGTCTGCGGCTTTGCCCCCATGCTCACCCTAAGTGCCCCACCCGGGGAGGGCATGGGGAGAACTAGAGCAGTTGGGATCCCAGGCGGGCGCCTCTCGGAAGGGCTTTCACAGTCCCGGCCTTCTGCTCACCTTCCCCCCGAGTCTCTAGACATTGCATTCTAGGAACTTGGGGGAGGAGAGCGCGCCAAGCAACAGGTCCCAAGCGAGCAGGGCACCGCGCAGGCGGAGTTCGCAGCCACAGCTCCCAGCCCCGGGGTGCACCCTTACCCCGGCAGGTCCGCCAGAGACCGGAGTGGGAGCTCAGAGGCTCCAGCTGGCTGCGATTGATGGACCCCAGCAGGTCCTGCGCCCCCGGGCCGCTCCTCTCCAATCGCTCGGTGTCAATGATGTACCAGAAGTCCGTGCCGATGGCGGCCGCCAGAAGCACAAAGCTGAGCGCCCCGGTCAGCGCAGCCGCGCCGGCCAGCCCGCCCAGGTGCACCCGCATCGCCGAGCCCAGGACCAGCAGCCGCGGGTTCCTGCGGCCGAGGCGCGATCCCTCTGTGCCCGCCCCCGTCACCAGTAGGCCACCGCGGGCTCCCAGCTCCACCGCCGGAGCCGCCGAGCTCAGATCTGAAAGCCTTTCCTTTGGACCCCTGGCCCTAGCTCAGACCCTGGATCCACCCTCAGAGCCTCACCTGCCGGCTCCGATCTGCACGCGCGCCCGCTCAGCCCCCGTCCACGTTCCCAGCCCTCCAATGCCAGCTCTACCTGCAGAGCCCCTCACCTGTGTGCTGTCCGACCTCCACCTCCGCCTTCAGACCCTCCTGGAAGCCCTAGTCCTTCCCCACCAGCACCTTAACCCACCTTGTCCCCCAGCCCCACTCCACCCTCAGCCCTCTACGCCCAGCCCAAGCGGACTCTCTCACTTCAAAATCCTCACTTTCCCCAGACCCCTACTCCCTCCATTCCCCTGCCTCACTCTCCACGAACTCTTCCCCCGACCCGAGATGCTCCCCTCTCTGCTCCCCTCTCTGCCTCTGACTCTGGCTTTCCGCCCTAACCCTTTTTCTTGGCCCCACACTGCCAGCTCCCCACTCCCAGCCCTGCTCTCCAGGGTCTTCCCGCAGCTCCTGCTCTGGCCGGGTCGCAGCTGACCCTCTGCGCCCTCCTTCTCGCCGCCGAGGACAAACTCGGAGTGCGCACGCAGCACAGACGGGGGCGGTCCCCAGCCCTGGAGCGCTGGAGGCTATGAGTGTGGAAGGGAAGGCGGCCTTGGGACCACCTGGGGCAGTAGGAAGGAGGGGTGTGGCGGGCCTCACAGTCCTGCCAAGATTTGCAAATCATCTCCAAGAGTCCCTCCAGCTCCAAGCACCCTTCCTCCAAAATCCACCTTCAAGTGTAGTCTGGGCTGACTAGAATGGGAAAAGGCACATCAGTTTTTCATAAAAGTTCTCTAAAGCTCTGAGGTAGTCCAGGTCCTCAGAATCTATCATTTGTACCCCCAAAGTCTTTCTTCATTATCATAGCCACCACCACTGCCACCATCACCACCACCATCACCATCACCACCACCACCACCATCACCATCATAACCACCATCACCAGTACCATCACCACCACCAACACCATCACCACCACTGCCACCATCATCACCACCAACACCATCACCACCACCATCACCATCATCACCACCACCATCACCACCGGCAGCATCACCACCACCATCACCAACATCACCACCACCACCAACACCATCACCACCACATCACCATCACCACCACCATCACCATCATCACCACCACCATCACCACCGGCAGCATCACCACCACCATCACCAACATCACCACCACCACCAACACCATCACCACCACATCACCATCATCACCACCACCATCACCACCGGCAGCATCACCAACACCACCAGCAGCATCACCAACACCACCACCATCATCACCACCACCACGGACAGCAACACCATCACCACCACCATCACCATCATCAGCACCACCACCACCACCATAATCACTACCATCGCCATCATCATCATCACCACCATCACCACCACCACCATCACCATGGGCAGCAACACCATCACCACCACCATCACCATCATCCCCACCAACGCCACCACCATCATCACTACCATCACCATCATCATCACCACCAGCAGCATCACCAACACCACCACCATCATCATCACCACCACCACTACCACCATCACCACAGACAGCAACACCATCACCATCATCTTCATCACCATCATCACCACCACCACCATCACCATGGACAGCAGCACCATCACCACCACCACCACCATCACCATCATCCCCACCAATGCCACCACCATCATCATTACCATCACCATCATCATCACCACCACCATCATCATCATCACCACCATCACCACCAGCAGCATCACCAACACCACCACCATCATCACCACCACCACCACCAGCATCACCACCATCATCACTACCATCACCATCATCTTCATCACCACCATCACCACCACTACCACCATCACCACTAGGAGCAGCATCACCAACACCACCACCATCACTATCACCACCATTGCCATTGTCATCACCATCGTTGTCATCACCACCACCACCACCAACCACCACCATCACCACCAACCATTACCACCACCATCATACCACCATCACCATCATCATCACCATCATCACCACCATTATCACTATTACCACTGCCATCATTACCATCACCACCACCACCACCATCATCACTACCACCACCAGCACCAGCACCACTCTCCTCTTTATCATCACCATCACTCTTATCCATTCAACCACCTTCCTCACCACCATAAAACCTTTTATTCTGTAAAGAAATACTTCTGGTACCTTCTATGTGTCTGATCCTATAGTCTATGTTAAGAATATAGGCATGAACAATCCAAAAAGAAGTCCTGCCCTTAAGAAATATAGGGTTCAGGCTCCCCAGCCTTTTACACACAGGGGACACAGAGAAAATACCTATATTTGCATGGCTCATTAATAGAAGAGGCTTCCAGATACTGGGGATGACCAATCCTCAGGAGTTACTGCTACTAAAGGCCCCTCAAAGCTGACCTTATGGCTGAGGAATCAAAATCTTGGCACTCCTGTGATCCATTCTTTTTTTTTTTTTTTTTTTTTTGAGACGGAGTCTCGCTCTGTCGCCCAGGCTGGAGTGCAGTGGCTGGATCTCAGCTCACTGCAAGCTCCGCCTCCCGGGTTTACGCCATTCTCCTGCCTCAGCCTCCCAAGAAGCTGGGACTACAGGCGCCCGCCGCCTCGCCCGGCTAGTTTTTTGTATTTTTTAGTAGAGACGGGGTTTCACCATGTTAGCCAGGATGGTCTCTATCTCCTGACCTTGTGATCCTCCCGTCTCGGCCTCCCAAAGTGCTGGGATTACAGGCTTTAGCCACCGTGCCTGGCCCTGTGATCCATTCTTAAGGGACCATTGTGTCAAGGTCCAAAAGTTGACAGGTGCTGGTCAGGTTGGAAGAGAATCATCAAAGTGTGCTTAAGACAGGGTGCTATGAGAGAAAGTACCAGAGGGGAGATCTCACTGGGCTTCTCTGAGGAAGTGACATTGACACTGAGACATGAAGGATATAAAAGTATCCACGTCTAGAGAATGGCTTATATGAGGGGTTTCGTCCATTCTAGAGAAGTCGAAAGAAGGGCTATCAGGCTAGAATGTAGTAAGGGAAGAGCAAGCAGAGGGAAATCAGATGGAGGGTATAAGAAGTGGTCAGGTCACACAGGTCTTGAGATCCACGATAGAGTTTCGATTTTAGTCCAAACTACTGAACCGTTTTCAGCACGAAAGTAGAATGTTCTAACTATTAAAAAATCTCACTATGCTTGCTGTAGTGTGGAATATAGAATATAGAGAGACAAGAAAGGGAACAAGAAGGCCAGTTAGGAGGACATCGTAGAAGCAGCAGCAAGATCCTGCTGCCTTGGGTAGGTGGGGGCAGCAGTGAACAGAGAGTAAAGTGTAGAGTTTTTAAAAGTTGAGGGAGTAGAACTGGTAGGGTTTGGTGATAGGCTGGGGTTGAGCATTATCCTTTTCCTTGTTACTTTATTCTTCCTTGCCAATACCACCTTAATCTGTATCACTGTCATCCTCATCTTCATTATCAAGGGCATCAGCACCCTGGCAGAGCTATCACCAGCAAGAATATACCCTCCCTTGATTCTGCAGACCATTCTGTTTCATCACCCCTCCACCACTATCTTGATGAAAATAGATCTTTTCTAAAACCATCATCACTGATAATTTTGCTGTCAACTCCATCACACTTCTACTATTATCTTTACTTCCACCATCATCCAAATAGTCCTCACCATCAACTTGAGAGATGCACGTAAAATTCAGTTGAGGCTGATCCCAGGAGCCCTTACAATGTCTTTGAGGTTCAATCTCTTCCCTCTTTCTCTTCTCCTTGCCATCTCTCAATTGTTTTCCTCTTGGTTGACTTCACTTTTCAAGCAGGCTCTCATTTGTTCAATCATAGGAGCCAGTTTCACAGCTTAGCAACTCCAAGAAAAAGAAATAATCTCTCTCTCAAAAGTGCCAGATCCCCACAATTCAATCTCATTGGCCTGTTTTTGGTCATGTGCTCTGAATCAATCTCTGTCACTCAAAGGGACCAGATGTGCTAATTGGCCAAGCCTCAGTCACCCGTCCACTCCTGGAGCCAGAGTGGGAGAAGTCAGTCCCACCCTAAATATTTGAGTTCAACTATGATAGCAAAGATATAGAATCAACTTAAATGCCCATCAATGGTAGATTAGATAAAGAAAATGTGGTACACTACACCATGCAATACTATGCCGCCATAAAAAAGAACGATACTATGTCCTTTGTAGGAACATGGATGGAGCTGGAAGCCATTATCCTTAGTATATTAACACAGGAACAGAAAACCCAATATTGCGTGTTCTCACTTACAAGTGGGAGCTAAATGATAAGAACACACGGACACATAGAAGGGAACAGCGACACTGGGGCCTACCTGAAGGTGGACAGTGGGAGGAGGGAGAGGATCAGAAAAAAAATAACTTATAGATACTAGGCTTCATACCTGGATGATGAAACACTCTGTATAACAAACCCCTGTAACATTAGTTTACCTGTATAACAGACCTGCACATGTACCCTTGACTTTAAAATAAAAGTGTTGTTTAAGCCATTTGAGCTGAAAGGTGTTATGATTGCTAAATGTGACAAATAAAAATACAGGAAATCCAGTTAAATTTTAATTTTAAATAAACCGTGAATAATTTTTCAGCATATGTCCCACACAATACTTGAGGTATACTAGAAAAACTTTTAGGCCGGGCGTGGTGGCTCACTCCTGTAATCCTAGTACTTTGGGAGGCTGAGGCGGGTGGATCATGAGGTCAGGAGATCGAGACCATCCTGGCTAACACAGTGAAATCCCGTCTCTACTAAAAATACAAAAAATTAGCCGGGCATGGTGGCGGTCGC